GGCGCTCACGCTCCTCTTCCGCAATCCCACGCCGCAGCTATTCGGCAACGGCGTCCTCGACTACCCCGACGACGAGATCGAGCGCGACGCGACGACGCTCGTCGCGCGATACACCGGCCAGCGGACGGGCGCGCTGGACGACGACGTGCTCGGCGCCAAGCTCTTCTTCGAGCGCGAGCCGCGCGACGGGGGCTACCGCCTCGTCGGCGCCATCACCGGCGTCGTCGAGACCGACCGCGTCGGCGGGCTCCGGTGCTTCGAGCTCTCGATCGACCTGGTCGGCGCGGTCCGCGACGCGCGCGGCGCCGCGGTGCCGCCCGGCGAGGCCATCCGCGAGACGCGCGCGGCCTTCCGCCGCGAGGGCTGCCACAAGCTCGCCGTCATGCGCCGGTTCGGCTCGGGGAGCGGCCCGCGCGTCGGGAACAAGTTCGCCGGCATCGTGACGTTCGACGCGCCCCCGCGATCCGGCGAGCTCAGGCGCCCGGGGCGCTCCGAGGCGGCGGCCGCGGCGCGACCAAGTTCCGGAGTTCCGCCGGCGCCCGGCAGCGAAGAGTGCCAGGTCTGCTTCGAAGAGACGACCGGGACGCTCCGCTGCGGCCACCCGTGCTGCGCGGAGTGCCTGGAGAAGCTCTTCGTCGCCCAGGGCCATCGCGGGACGCGGTCGCGCGAGCGCGCCGTGCGCTGCCCGATGCGCTGCCACGCGCGCGGCGACTAACCTCCCTTACGAGCGCGGACGCGACGGCGGCCGCTATCGCGCCGCGGCGTCGCGGAGCAGCTCCGCGCCGCGCGCGGCGACGCCGTTGCGGAACCACGAATTCGGCCACAGGAGCACGGCGGCGAGGAAGGCGGGCTTGCCGGCCTCGAGGAGCTCGGCGAGCGAGGCCGGCGGCGCGCCGAGCGTTTGGTAGGCGACCGCGCACGGCGCGCCCCACCACGCAAGCTCGACGAACCCGTAGGCGACGAGGCCGTAGGTGCCGTATTCTCGGAGCTTCGGCGGGAGAATCGAGCCGCCCGCGACGACGACGGACCGTCTCCGCGGCTGAGGCGACAGCGGCCTCGTTGGCCGCGGCGGACTGAAGGCGTCGACGGCCGCGAGCGCGACGCAGAACCACGAGGCAGCGCGCATCGCTCCGATGATTTCTGCTGCACTTCTGCCTGCTTTGCGTGCACTTACACGCGCTCAGGGTGCACTGCTAGACGCGCATCTCTTGTGGCAAAAAGGGCATTTTGGCGAAGTTTGCTGGAAGGAGCCGCGCCGCAAAGCTCGAGCTCGAGCCGCGCCGCGCGCGCGCGATGGCGCCTGCGCGCAAGTTTAGTCGTACGCCTCCCCCAAACAAACCGCCGTCGCTACCGGTCAAGCCGCAAAGCTCCATCCTCACGGCGCCGTCGCCGGAGGTATTAGCAAAACTGCCGGCGCGCCTCGACTACGACGCTTTGAAGCGCAGCTTCGCCGCGGCGACGAAGGCGTGCCGCGAGGTCGCGCGGGAGCTGCCGGGCGTCGTCGAGGGCTGCGCGGCGCACGGGGACGCCGCTTCGTGGGCGCGCGAGCTCGGCCCGGCGACGGGCCCGGGCGCGCGCGACCGCGCGGCCGCCGCGCGCCGCGACCTCCTATCGCGCGCGTCGAAGCTCGAGGCCATGGAGCGCGAATTGGAAACGACCTGCTGGCCGGCGCTCGACGCCGGCTGGGCCCTCGAGGAGGCGTCGCGGAGCGGCGAGGAGGGCGAGGTCGCGCGGCGCCTGCTGTCGGACTGGTTCGCGTTCGCCGCGGCCGGCGGCGACGAGGCCGCGCTGCCGCCGGGCTACGGCGGCGAGACCCTGCGGGACCTCGCGCAGGCGTCGGAGAAGCTCGCGGAGCTCCAGCGCGTCGCGGCGGGCGTCGCGCCGTCGCCCGCGCGGCCGCGGAACGCCGCCGCGGCCGCGGCGATAGCGCGGCGCGCCGCGCGGCTCTCGTCGCTCGTCGGCGAGAAGCTCCTCT